ATTGTGGGAGATAATTACTTTGGAATTGGATAGGATATACATTACGAAAATCACCAAACTTCATCATGAGGCATGCTCTCACCAGGAATCTTGAATGGAAACGGGAAAGAAGAAGACCAAGGAACATACTGTGTTGGGAATCGGAAGAAGACATGAAAAGGGTGAATAGTGTCTTTGAAAGAACTGGAAAGGGTTGATCAGGACAGAGTTGACTGGAGAATGCTGGTGAGTGGCTTATTAGGCTCAATTAGGCAATTAAAGTGGCACTTGATGCTCCAGTATTTCACACAATGAACACAAAAATAATATTCTCACTGGAAAGTTTATTACTAAACAACCTACATTTTTAGGATTTTTTCATCGAGTTTATTACAACTAACAAGTTCATCAGTCAACAAGTGACTCATCTGAACTCAACAGATTTGTTCATGTCAATCATTCGTGTCATGATTAGAACGTGTTTAGTTACATGCACGACAAATTATCATTTGGCCGCATGTTTTTTGACCTCAATTACAATGAACTTATGACACTAATATATGATCTTTAGCTTCCATTAGGAATAACACTAGGATTGATACTATTAAGTATTTTTTAACAAGTAGTTTAATGCAACATTTAGGCATAAATGGCACATTAACTCTTAATGAGTCCCTGGATTCAAATTTTAACTGTGATGATCAACGCCGGGGTGTACATTTATCTAAATTATGAGTTAACGAATAGACGAAATCCTTTTCTTTATTTCTACTATCACTGTTTATCGGAAAAAGTTATAATCCAAACGTCAAAAGATCCTTTCCGAACCAATCAATTATCAATAAAATCACTTTGACTTGAAGTGGTTCTCTATTATTTTCTCTCAATAATTGCAATCATAATTCTCAGATTTGAGTCAGATTGAGTCAGTCATTGACGCACTTATTTCTACACAGAGAAATAATTCCCGATGTTCATTAATTTATGACTTTTGGGTTAAGTGCAAAAATTGTTTCATCTCAGTGTGTATACAGTTACAAAAATAAATCGACATAATTTACATTTGGCATGTATGAGAAAATTGTCTTCGTCTTTAGTTCCTTTATCCATTTTAAAGAAAGTATTATACGTCAAACAGTTGCTTCAATCGATTTCCTGGCTAAATATGAAACTTGATTAACTCCACATGGAGCCTCTCTTGGGCTACTGCCGGTCCCAAGCCCCGATAAAAAAAGAGGATTAGATATGGGGTTAGCAACCCCATCCCGCAGAAAACTAACTCGCTAAAAAACACCCTAACCAGAAAAAGAACTTGACTGAATAATGTTAATAATTGCTGAAGATTAAACAGGATATTTCTAATCATTTATCTACCTGATTAGGTATGCATTAAGAGAATAACGATCTGACAATTCACTCTTTTAAGAGGTGTAGATAAAACTTATCCATTTACTTATTAATAACATGATTTTTAATTTATTTCTATCTGTTTATCACTTAAGCATTTTTCATTAGTTGAGATCATGAGTCGATTGACGCTAGACCACCATGAAAAACCTGCAAGCACTGGGTGACTGTTTCATCCCAGTATGGGACTTCTCAGAAATACGCATCCATGATTCTGCCCCTAGAAATTCGAACCCAGGACATATCGGTCTTGCTAGCGAACGCCTAACCTTTAGTGATCGGCTTCAAGAGGCATCCCCAGGAGTTTCAGTGAGAAGCAGTGACCAGTGCAATTCAACCGCGTCTGTTGTGAGATAGTAACTCACTAAAGACAATAGTCGATATGTCGCTCAATTTCGTGGATTATTTGAAGTTAAACATTAACACCATTGGATGTCAGTTGGCTCAGCGAGACTAATAGCCTTTGAGGAAGTAAAAGTTGACAAGGAAGAATATTATTAATCCAACAGTCTGTTTCTATTTTCCTTTAGGAATTCACTTTAAGGAAGGGAACTCCTGGTCGTTGTAAATTGCTGGAGGTGGAATGTGATCGTTAATAGGCAGAACATGGCCGAAACCACGACCTCGCCCATCACTCCTCATCTGACCTCTTCTTCGACCTCCACGTTCACTTCTTGGTCCCGCACCGCGTGTAACACCACGCCCACGATCGAACCCTCTGCCTTCAAATCCTCGTCCACCTCTTCTACGACTTCCAAAGTCGTCAGCGAAAGAAAAATCAATGTCGATCGACTGATGCTCCTATATCGAATCTCAGGCTCGTTTTCCTTCTCCTCCACCTCGTAGGTATCCTCGTGGACCTCCTGTATTTTTCTGTGAGCCACCATGTTTGCAAACACATCTTTGCCATCATTAGCTTTGCGTAGACCTTTGTTGTTCAGTAAGACGGCTGGTTTGGAAGACTGGCGCATGGCCTTGTATTCTTCCAATGTGTAGCTTTTCGGTTCTTCCTCAACTGGAGTTTCTGTGTTGACAACCACAACCTCCCCATTCTCCGCCGTGGCATGCTCTGACTGGTCCTCGACCTCGTTACGACCGTCTGAGCAACGCACAACTTGCTCTGAGTCACCACTCTCAGGCATTGTTTGGCCATCAACATCCTGAGCATTCCAATTTCCATCCCTTCGACCATATTGTCTTGGGCCCTGACGATCTGGACCATCTTGATTCTCGAAGTCTCGCTGAGCTCGAATCTTGCAAGGTAGGATAGTGGATGCTCACTACAGAGGAGTCCCACAATAGAACGAAACAGCCGTCCAGTATAACCAGGTTTTCCATGGTAGTCTAGCTTCTATTGATTCATGATCTCAACCATTGAAATTACTATAATATTCACAAAACCTCTTCTGATACGAAGGCATTCATTTAATAATTACCCGATGATGTTCAAAGTTAACAGTTTGATACAATTGAATCATAGCACATCATAGATCATTCTCATTTGTACTTATTAATCATACGTTTTTTCAGTATTCTGTCTTTTCATTAAAATTAGTTTTAATGTGAACAGAAGTATTTGGTTCATTATTTATTAAATTAAGATATACACAATAATTCATTATTATGTTAGAGTACTTTACAGTTTAAAAATTACTTTCTTCCCCTCAGTTCTTTCTTATTATTTATCTTTTTGTACATCATATAGGTTGAAAAATGATTAACTAAATGAGTAATTAGTAAACATGCTAGAAATATTGTATCTCGATTGTTATGGGCAATAAAGTTAGTTCAAGTGATAGTTCAGAAAAAAAATTTCAGACCATTGATTATGAGCTATTAAAAAAATGTCTGTTAAATAAACTTTCATAATAATTCTACTATCTATGATGACAATTATTTATTTCAATACCTTATTCTAGGTAGATACTATTGTTCGAATGAGATATTCCAAGTCAAATTTCTCATTATGAAGCTTTCATTGTTATGGTAGTTCACATCATCAATACTTACTAAAAAATAAAGTCAGAGTATGCAACATTATGTTTTTCCAATATTTTGCCAAATTTTAAAATATCATTAAAATATTAGTTGTGTATTGGATATTTTTCTTGAATAATTAAATTCATGAATCAATTGAAGCTAGACTACCATGGAAAACGTGGAAGTACTGAGTGGTCATTTCATCCTCAGCAGTACACATCCACGATTCTACCCTTAGAGATTCGAACTCAGGACTTAATTTTCATTACATCATACAGTATAACTATAATCAACCTATTTTGTTCAAATTAATTAATTATTTATTCTAATAAACTAATTTTTAACAAAAATAAATAATAAAATCTCACTTCTATCATTTAATCAAGGTTTGAATAATTTTTTCTGGTTAGCGTTTTTTTAGCGAGTCAGTTTTCTACGGGATGGGGACGCTAACCCCATGCCCAACCCTCCTCCTTTATCCGGGCTTGGGACCGACAGTAGCCCCCGGAGGGACTCCAGGCGGAGTCATTTAATCAAGGATAATAAATTAAAAATAAATAAATAAATACATGACATACTGTGGTGTGTGCTATTTATATTGATGTTAGTCGTGAATAGAAGGTCTGACAGCAGAAAGACAAGAGCATCGAACAATAAAGAATGGGACAGAATGCAATTTGTATCAAAATGCAAGAACAATGAAGTCCGAGTCATTTTGAGACAATTGGTGGACATTTTACAAATGAAGCATTTACTTTATGATTTTTAGATTTTATTAACAAGTCCTATAATTTTGTGTTAAATGACATTCGATTGTCCCAACTAATATTCTTGTTCACTACAATATTAGTGGCGAGACTATAATTTATGGACGAACCAATAAAGTATAAGATAATAGGCCTTGGATATTGGCGCGAAATTCACTTATCCAATTTGGTTAAATAGTTTTGACATTATAGCTGATGTCATTTAGTGATGAAAACCCGAAATCTAATTCCTGACGTTAATCATCAATTGTAAAACAATTCTAATTCCTCATACAGGTTTAGAACTCTCATTTGGTCATAGAGATTAGGTGGACACACTCAAGGTCAGTCTAGCTTCACTCAAAGGTCGTCCATAAATTATAGTCTCACCATATTAGTTCATTTAATGAAAGATAACAATGATCCTTTAAAAAATTTTTATTATTTTATTAATTCTTTTTCCCAATAATTAAGAATATTATTGATTGTACCTATGAGCCGAATATTATTCATCCATCCATTCATTCATTCATTATCATTATAATCTATTATCTGTCTGTTTGTCTATCTATCTAATCTGATGATTGGTGTATCAAATATATAGACATTAAACTAAAATTATGATAGGTTTATTTGTAACCAACATTTAAAACTATTGAATATTGAATATGATTTTATTGAAACTTGAATTTGATTCTTCTTCTTCTTCATCTTATTATTATTATTATTCAATTGAATTAAATTAGATTTCTGAGTATAAATTTGGATTAAAATAAGTAAAAATTTCTTTATGTCATTGACAAATCAAACAAATTATACTTAAATCATTTATTATATAAATAATATAACATTTACATATATTATTATTATTGTTTTAATAATTACAATATGACTGATCGTCATCATCATCAATATAATAATAATAATAATAATAATAATAATAATAATAATAATGAAAAACATTCAGTTATAGATGGTAATTGTACAAAAGAGGATTGTATAGCATTTAGTAATATAAAAGTAAATCGTACATCTAATACAAGTATTTTTATTGATAATGAACATAATAAAACTAGTCAAAATTCATTTCATTTATGGAATTCACATAAATATAAACATGTAGACAATTGGAGACCACGTAATAAATGGGAATTTTGTTTTATATTTGCAGTGATAATTGTTGTAATTTTATTGATTATATTTATTAGTTTATGGGGAGCTCAATTAATTGTTAATCAATGTAAGTTATTAATTTCAATTTTAATATATTTCTCTAAAAAGTTTGTATGGATGTTGTTTTTTTTCTATAATGTTTAACAATTATTATATTTAATAATGAGAAGGGGTTTTGTGGAGATTTTGGAAATTTCACTAGTTGGAATTTTGAGTCAATTGAAGCTAGACCACCATGGAAAACCTGGAAGCGCTGGATGCTCGTTTGATCCTATTGTGGGACGCCTCAGGACTATGCATCCATGATCAGGCCCCCGCGAAATTTGAACCCAGGAGTTATTGGTCTAGTGCGCGAGCGCTTAGCCATTAGACCACTGAGTGGGCATCTTAAAGTGTTAATGAGGAGTACCATACTAGGACGAAACGGTTGTCCAGTGATTCCAGGTTTCCCATTGTGATCTAGCTTCATTTGACTCACGATTTCTACTAGTGACATTTAATAATGTTTTTTAGTTCAGTAATAAGTAAATGTTAAAAAGCTGTAAAAATTATAGTGAAGAACATAAATCAACTTAATTGCATAGATACATATAAGGCTTAGTAACCTATTTTTGCTAACATGGTAACAAAGTCAATGTCAAGTACTGGACTTTGTATGTGAGGAATAATAAACTTTACTTTACTAACAAAATTAATGTATGTGGTGTAGGGTTTCAATCGCCTATCAATTAAAGTCATGTGTCATCACTATTAGATTCAGTGCCTACAACGTAAACCGAACTTAACACTCATACATACTACATGACTTTCATTAAAATAAGACTTTAGAATACTACTTTATATTTCGATGATGTTATAATTATATGCAGAAATGGGTTCATGAATAAGACAAAATACTAATTCTTAATAAGTAACAAAACTTTTATTTATCTATTATTTTTATTGTTTGAATTACTTAAAAGCTAATTGACAAGTAATATGTGAATCTATTTGAAACTGCAGATAACCCAAAACTAAAATTACGTTTTTATTTTTTAAAGATGTGGGATAAAATATCAGATATTTTGAAGAATAATGTACACCTTTCTGAATTGAATGCCCTATTTTAGAGTTTAATTAAACTAAATATAATAATCAATCGGAGTTGATCTGAACAACCGATTGTTTTCGACCTTAATTTGCTAAGCAAATTAATCATGTATATTATTGACACTTTTAGTAAATCCAACATAATCTATTTGTAGGTTGTTTTCTACTTCAGTCCAATTCCATACTATTAATCTTTAAAATATATTTACATACTGAAACTGTTTGCAATTTACTCTATAAGCTTCATTTATACATTTAATGACTCTTTGTTTGCATTTGTCACTCAGTGTTAGTAAGAAACTATTTTCCCGAAACATTTTACATGGTCTGACCACTTAGAATATGAAGTTCGAATAAAATGTGATCCACCACAGAGTGTAGCACGAAACGTAATCAGTTGGTTAGTTCTTTAAAATGCTAACGACTTGAAAACTAACAATCAACTAATTTCACAATTCATGTTTGATTATCTTTTACAACTAAATTTTTTTCTAGATTAGTTTTATTGTAATGACACTATATTGCTAATATTTAACATGACTTCTGTCCGGCAAAATGGCATTGAATTTTCTTGTTTTTAATCATTAATTGTTTAATTTCAGCGTCAGTTACTGGTTAATTGTTTCTAGTGATTATTATGCATTAAACCTACTAGTTATTGCTAGCTTGCTTACTCAAATATATTGGCTTTCTTCAATATACGACTGATACATCTATTAAACAGATAATTACAGTAAACAGACAAAAATAGGTTCGAATGTAATTTCATTTAAGAAGTGATTTGATTTTTGTTTTAGTTATCAATCACGATGTAAGCAAAAGGATTTGACCATATTCGTCCGAAACATTCCTTGGAAATAGTTTACATTTATTTATTGATTATTTACCAGTTCCTTAGATTATCACTTATCTAGTAATATTATATTCATCACTTACTAACTACTTCGTTGGAAACTTTTTCTAAAATACATGTTTATTGCTACGATTTTTCTGTTTTGTTTTTTTGTGTGTGGATTTTATCAATATTTATGTATTTCCTATTTCAGACATTTACACTGTCTGCTAATAACTAATTGAATTTTGTGTGTCGTTTAATATTGACGATATTTTAACTGTACAACAAATAATGGACTTTCATACATTTAGTTTTCTTTATCATTTTGAAGAGAACATAAACAAATATTACTATTAATCTGTTCTAAGTTACCTTGCTATAAAACCATCTGATGTATCAATATGGGGATTGATAGAAATTGTAGTATTTTCACAGTCGTATTCATGAGTTGATCTCAGCTAGACCGCCATTGAGAGCCTCGAAGCACTGGTCGGCCGTTTTGCCGTAGTATGGGACTCATCAGCATCGCGCATCCATGATCTCACACGTTAAGCTCAAACACAAGACTTTTGGTCCCATACTCACTAATGACTAGCTTCGAAATGCAATTCTCGAAGTTCTGGTGAGAAGCTGTGACCAGTGAAGTTCAACAGTGTTGGATATGGGGCAGTCATCCACCTCAGACAGTGAATGAGCAAGATCATAGGTTGATTGAACGTAGACATTAACACCGTTGAATGCCGCTTCAATGGTCTAAACGTTAAGTGTTCACGTGTGAGATCGTGAATGCGCGCTGGTGAAGAGTCCCTTTTTAGGTCAAAAGAGCCATCTAATGTATATTTACTCTCTTATTTGTAATCAGCAATTCCCGAGTTTTTCCCTTTCACATTAATTATCTGAAATGAAATTTTTATAATCTTATTAATTGTATTGTAATCCTCGTCACATCATGATACATATATTAATCTCTTATCGTGTTCGAATATAAAAGTATATCAATTGCAATGATAACTTTGATTTTAAAACATTATAGATTGTAAGCAGCTGATGAGAATCTAGATAGATAAAATGAATGCATATGATTCAGCACCATTCTTTGTTGTTTTGTTTTACTTTCTTAGAAATAATGAGCTATCTGCTCATAAAATATTTAAGTTATTTTAGCTCACCACTGTATTTTAATCTATTAAATTTTGAATTGTGTATTATATTTAAACAAGAAGAACATTTTACCATTGTAATAGAATGCTTTATCATTAAGTCTGTTGTTAAACAGTTTTTATGGCAAGTGGATGAACAATATATTCCATGGGTATTAATAACTAATATGAGTAAAATTTATTTATATAAAAGAAATAGTCCTTATTATATTTCTATTTCATATCATTACAGCTTATCATTATTGTGAGATAGTAACTCACTGAAGTCAATGGTGGATGCGTCGCTCAATTTCGTGGATTATTTGAAGTTAAACATTAACACCGTTGGATACCGGCCAGCTCAGTGGTATAGAGGTTAAGCGTTCACGTGCAAGAACGATAAATTTTGTGTTCGAATCTCACGAGGTGAGGTCGTAGATGCTCACTACAGAGAAGTCCTACAATAGAACGAAATGGTCGTCAAGTGCTTCCAGATTTTCCATGGTAGTCTAGCTTCAATTGATTCATGATCTCAACTATTGAAATTACCATAATATTCACAAAATCCCCCTTTCGATATCATCATTATTGATTGTTTGAATTAAATTTACACTTGTCTAAATTAATCAATAATAATAATTGCCCAATTTATATGTTAAGAGTTTTTTTATCGGTCTGATTTATATTATGAGGGAATTAGAAATAAATTAAAAAATCATTTAGGGGGTAAAATAATTTAAATGTAATAAAGTGTATTACTTTTATAAAAGATTATTATAATCAATTCAATGCATAAATGACGTCAATTTTAAATAGGAGATTAAAGAATAATCTTATAATAATATTCTTGGACGAAATTAACTATTTACGGGCATAATTAAATATAAAACATTTTTTTAAAAATAAATAGGCTCTCAGTCCGAATCTTGCAGGGTGCGGGATCGTGGGTGCGCACTACTGAGGAGTTTCATAATAGGGCGAAACGGCCGTCCAGTACTTACAGGTTTTCAGTGGTGGTCTAGCTTCAATTGACTCATGATTTCAATCAAAAACTTAACAATATCCGCAACACCTAAACTGATAAAAATAAACATTTAGTTTTATTTGAAAAACTGATTATTTAGGCCACTTTTGAAAATGACTTATCAATCCAAAGTATTCTCGCTTTTCTTTTTCACTACTAGTAATTCATCAAATGAATGAATTGAAGATCATCAACTAATTGATCTGATCATTGGCATAAGAAAGTTTCTCATATCAGCTTTCATTTATTTCTTTTATTTGAGTAAATGAGTTAATCAACCATTTTTATTACAATATATTTGATCATGATCATGACCGTCAGACCAATATTTAAAATTTAAAAAAAACTTTAGATAGCCGTTTCGTTTCAGCCTTTAACTCTTCAGTAGGCAATGGGTCCTGGGTTCGATTTGTGGTAGTGAATTTAACTGTGTGGTTCATGGTCGTCAATAGGGAGTTGTATAACTTCAATATGTGATTTAACCTACGGAAATTAAAAAAAATCACTACAAAAACCTTATGCTAATTTATATCAGGAAGGGTATTTTTCATTTTTTGTTGTTGATAGTTTCGTACTGTGAAACTGGAAAGAACATGCTGTGGAACAAAGACATATTGATAATTGTTCCATAAAAAAACTCATTCTAAACCATGTCCTAATTATAACAATCTATGACTTGGTGAGAAATAAATCTTGTTTATTCACCTTATAGGGTTTGTTCATTATGCAGAGATACTTCAGGTATTTACTAATTTTGTATATCATTTAGCATTCCACTTATTCATGGCCATATTTTACAAAAATAATGTAGACTTATGACCTCCATCAATTCAATTTATTGCAATTAGATCTGTGGAAGTAAGTAACATTGATTCATTCAACGAAATGTTGATGGCATTAGTCAACAAATCATTTTATGAATTGAATATTGATTAACAAAGAGAATTCATGGAATATTGAGAAATACAATTACATTAAGA